GGCCGTCGCCACTGCCACCGCTCGGGCCACCGGTGGAATTTCGAGCGGGGTTCTTGCGCCTGGTGCTGCCCCAGTCCGTGTCGACCAAATGCCCACCTCCACTCCCTCTGCGACCAGCGATCAGGGCGCCCCTGGGTACGCCGTCGTTGTGGCTGCTGCTCTTCTGCCCTTGCCCCGCGTCTCCCTCCGACCAGGTATGGGCGCCACGTTCAATAGACGTGCTTCTAGGATTTCTTGCCGTGCCGCTACTCGAACAAATAACCTTCGGCTGTGCCCGCCGCCGCCGCCGCCGCTGCCATGTCCTTGCTGACGGTGCCTCCCAGCTTTACCCGTGTCGGCGGCGGCGTCGCTCGCGGACCGCGGAACATCGTCACCGATATAGTTTTCGCGACTAAGGTCTTCGCCACCGCACCGGCCCCCAGGTCCCTGCTGACGCCGCTGGTAAACAAACCAAGGCTATGGGGTCTCTTGCTCCATCGGGTGTGGGTCGGGTCTCTCTCCGAAACGCGCGACAGCTCGCCGACGGACCGGAGGTGGGGCAGGTTGGCCGGCAAGGCGGCGGCGGCCTGCTCTGCGGTGTCGTCGTGTTTGGGGCCCTTTGTGTCGCTGTCGACCTCTCGCTCGCCCCGAGACGAGGCCCGCGGTGGCCCCCTTCGACATGAGCCGGGCAATGGCGCGGCGGAAGGTGTTACCGGGGATGTTGCAACGGGTGACATCACCACTTATCAGAGCTGTGACCTCCAACAGCCCGTTCACTTTAGCCTGTTGTTCGGTGGTGGGGTAGCGACTTTGCTAGTTTTGTGCAGATTTACTCACAAGAGCAAACTGAAACAATGCTATAGGCAGGCAAGCGCAAGTTGTGATCGATTCCGCAGATGGTTTCCGAGGGACACGCACAGGTCCCGCGACAGTTGTGCAATGGGGTAGACAACCCACGCCAAAAAAACCCTTGGGTCGGTCGACTGCTGCTCCGCGAAAACCGAGAAAACTCCAGCAGGAGAGAGGGGCTTGTGCGGGAAGCGGCGTGGGGCTTTTCCAGCGCCAATCAGTGCCACGAGACTAAGGTGAGCTCGTGTACTTTGGGTCAATTCTGGCGACGAGTTTTCGTGGACATCACCATGCAGATAGCCGTCAGAGTTGCGCGGCGCCTGTCCACGCTGACCTGCACAGCTGTGGGTTCGTCCGTGCAATAGCGATCGGCCTCGGCGTTGTTCTGCCACAGGAGCACCAGCCTTGTGTGCACCCCCGCCACGCTGCTGTGACTTCGGCGGGTGTATTCGTGCGCAGATGAGGGCAAGCAAGAAATGCAAGGGGAACCAGCACGACAATACGAAGGTCTCCCGGGCCGTGAGGAAGAACAAAACTTCAGGCCGCTTTTTTACACAAGCAGTAACATGATGTGCGCGAACTATCACGTAGCACTATCATAATTTTCGTATCCACGACTTGGTACTTGAGACCTCCTCCTGGAGTTGCAGTAGGACTGCCGTTAAGGAAACAGCGCTACGTTATTCATACGTGCAAAGAACTAGCTCTGCAATTGATCAGATCGTGTCCCCCCTGGACCGGAGGTCATGCCGATACTAAGCTACGCTCTTGTGCTCCAACGTTTTTCAACCAATCGGAGAACGTCGCCTCACTGGAAATAACCCTGTTGCAACCGTAGACCTCTCTCGTGCTTGGAAGAGACCCATCCCGAATGATCATCAGCAGCGAAGGGGGTACATAAAATAATTCGCAGACCGTATGCTCACTTGCCCGGTGTGACGTGGTCACGTATCATTTGTAACATTCTGTGGCGTGTCAGCATGCATGCGCGAGTCGNGACACTACCGGCAACCGCCAAATTTGCGGTACTATTTCATGGTAGGCGGCAGCGCAAAACTCCTCTCGGCGCACTATTGGCGGGGGGTCGGTTCCTGTCAGGCAATCAAACCGGTAGACTCGAAGGACCCGGGACGTGCACGCGCCGAGGTCGGTTTTCTCCAAACTTACACACTCTCTTTGGTTGGGGCCGGTTCCAGCCGCTATCATCGCCGCGTTCCGGCGGGCGCCGAAGGGGTGAGCCAGTGCCTCAGGAAGGCCCCCTGCAGCTGCACCGCG